GCCCGCGCGCTGCCCGCTGTGGAACCAGCGCCCGGAGCCGCTGGCGCCCGCCGGGTAGAGCTCCAGGGCGCCCACGGCGCAGCCCGGCTTCTCCTCCTGCTGCTCCACCTTGCCGGCGCGCCCGGGCTCCACTGCGGCGGACAGGACAGGACGGGACGCGGCATCACCGCGAGCCCCCGGCACCGCGCGCCGGGAGCCCTGCCGCCGTCGCGGCACCGCGTGTCCGTGCCCGGCGGCTCCCGCGGCACCCACCTGCGCAGGGGCTCACGAGGATCTTGCTGTCCTGCTGCATGGGCTGCCCCTCGGCGTACGGCTCCTCCGACTGCTTGATGCCAAACAGGCCGCCCGGCTTGAAGAACCGGTAGCCTGGTGGGGTGCGAGGGGGTCACCGGTGACCGCGGGTACTGGCGCTACCGCGGGCACCTAGATAAGTGCAAACCAACCACCCCTGGGCGCTGCTTTCATCTGTCCGGGGCTTCCACCGCCCAAAATGCAGTGAAGGTAACAGGAGGCACCGGCGGCGGCCCCACCGCGCCCAGCCCCGCGCCCTCCCATAAAAGGCAAGGAAGAAATTCCCTGGGAACAGCCCTCATTGCCCAGCCTCCACCAGCCCCCTTGGGTGCCGTGGCGCAGCCTTCACGCGGACAATTCAAAGCCCAACACAAAAGGTCTCCGTGTGGCGGCTCTGGGACCCGCCGGGGTGTTTCAGGACCCGCCGGGGGCTCCCGGTGCCCTCGCCCGGCGCCCGCCGCGCTTCTCGGCCTCCCCCGGCAGCGGCTCCCCAGCGGCGCGGGAGGAGCGGGGCGCTCACCCGTGCAGGGATCGGCGGGGCCGTCGGCGCCGTCCGCGTCGTGCGGCGCCCTGGCCACCTCGTTGAGCCGCGGGTAGGGCAGCAGGTTGAGAATGTGCGCGGGCTGCGGCGGCACCGGGGACGGGAGGTGTCAGCGCCGCGGCGGGGGGGACGGGCGCGATGTCCCCGGGGCCCGGCAGGGAATGGGGGTGGTGGCACCCGCGGGGGCGCCGCTGGGGAGGGGGAAACGTCCCGGCGGGACGAGCAGGACACGGGAGCGGGGCAGCAAGCGCCGGGGCAGCTGCCAGCACCCGGGCCCCAGCCCGGCCCACGGAGCCCAGGGGATCCCGGAGCCCGCAGGGCATCCTGGAGCACGCAGGGGATCCCAGATCCAAAGGGGGGCCCAGTGCTCACAGGGCATCCCGGAGCATGCAGGGGATCCCAGATCCATGGGGGATTCCAGAGCCCACAGGGCATCCCGGAGCACGCAGGGGATCCCAGATCCAAGGCGGGGCCCGGCACCCACAGGGGATCGCAGATCCAAGGGGGATCCCAGAGCCCACAGGGGATCGCAGATCCAAGGGGGATCCCGGCACCCATAGGGGATCCCAGAGCCCACAAAGGATCCTGGAGCCCGCAGGGGATCTCAGGACCCACAGAGAATCCCAGAACCTGCAGGACATCCCGGAGCCTGCAGGGGATCCCAGATCCAAGGCAGGGCCCGGCACCCACAGGGGATCGCAGATCCAAGGGGGATCCCGGCACCCATAGGGGATCCCGGCACCCATAGGGGATCCCAGATCCAAGGGGGATCCCAGATCCAAGGGGGATCCCGGCACCCATAGGCGATCCCAGAGCCCACATGGGATCCCGCAGCCCACAGGGGATCCCAGGACCCACAGAGAATCCCAGAACCTGCACGGGATCCTGGCACCCGGAGGGGATCCCAGATCCGAGGGGACCCCAGATCCAAGGGGGACCCCAGCTCCCGCAGGGCCCCCAGCTCCCGCGGGGTCCCGGGGCCGGCGGCGCCGCCCTACCTGGGGCGCCCCCCCCGCAGACATGTTCCCAGGCTGGCGAGGGCAGCGGACACGGACGTCACGGGCGCCGCCGCGGCCCCGGCTGCGCCGTCACCGGCCCTGCGCCGGGGAGGGGGCGTGAGGGGGCGGGGGGGCCAGGGCACGGGCCCTCCGCCGCCTCCCCCCGGTTATTTCAAGAGAGAAGCCAAAGGAGAGGCTCCCCGGGCCCGGCCGGATTCAGCGCCCGGCCGCGGGCGCTCCGGGACGTGCGGTCAGTGCCGCGGCGGGGGAGCAGCGGGAGAGCGGCCGGAGCGGCTGGAAGCAGCGGGAGAGCGGCCGGAGCGCGGGCAGCCTCCCCTGGGCAGCGCCAGGCACCGGCTGCGCTCCGTCCCGCGCCGCTCCCGGGGCTGGGAACGGGCAGGAATTCCTCGCGCGCCCTCCCTACGGGCGGCCCGAGCAGGGGCTGCTCTTCCCGGGGAGGGCACCGGGGCAGAGCCGCCTCTCCCGCGCGCGGGAATCCGGCACCGAGCCGGCAGCGCCGTGTCCCCGTGCGGCAGCTCCCGCTCCCGGCGCCTCCTGCGCCCCGCTAGCTGCGGCACTGCTCCGGGAGCAGCGGGAGCAGCAAGGGAATGCCGCAGGGAATGGGAGCGCAAGGCGCGCCCGGGCAGCGGGCGGGTGCTTGGTGCTGCCCGATCCTCTCGCTCCTGCAGCATTCCCTGCGGAGCCCATCATCCCGCACGGAGCGGGGGCTGCGCGGCGGGAGCGCTGGGCAGGCGCCTGGAAACGCCCCCCGCCGGCGCCCGCGGCTGTTTACGGAGACGGCGGCGCCGGGCGCGGGGCCTCCCGG